TTGCACCCCATGACGTATGCAGAAAATATTATCTAATGCATGGAGGTTTCAGGCCTAGCAGGCGGCAGTAATACGTAGCCATTAAACTGATAAGTCAACAAGATGCATCAGGCATCATAAACAGCCAAAAGGATTCCCAAATCCCAATAGCCCCATAAAAAAGCCAGATTTAAATAATTCAATGTAAGGGTATGCCAAACATCTATCCAAATATCTTCTCTCTGGAGCAAGCTTGACTAATCACTTGGTAATACTGGCACCCACGTGTGGTTGATTGAAAACACACAATTGCACAATCCATCCTTTTACAAATATTCATGGCATATTCTGCAAAAATATGACTGAAATCAACCAATCAGCAATCACCATCATTACTATATCAATTGTATTTTGATGCAGATCTGGATTTAGATGCAGATTTGTATTTTGTATTATTAAAACTACCAAATGCAGAGAATTCTATTCTACCTTGGCAGAGCTACACACTCTGTGAGTACTTTTTAATTTGGGCTGTGAACATACAGGATGTGGTTTTGTCCCACTGAATTGGAAGGTGCTGCTAACAGAAGCCAGTGAAAATGCATCACGTCAACTGTTTGCGATACATAACTTGCATAAGAGGAAACATTTTATATCTTGATATATTATTATATAGGCCCATTCTCAATCACTCAGCAGATTTAGGTGCTCAGCAGATTTATAGATAAATATTTAATTTAACTTAAAAGTAACAATGAATACGATTAAAAACACTTATTTTGGCCCAAGCACAAACCATGCAAGGTCCCTATTGAAACTGAAGGAATTATTATTTTGCTTTTTTCTGCAAAGTAAACTCGTTTTTGGAGGTCTAAAAATGCTCAAAAACTCACCAAACTTTGCACACATGTCAGAAGTGGCAAAAAATTTCGTATTTTATGGGTCCGCACATGGGCGTGGCAAAATGGCTAGTACCACCTGCAGAATTAGAACAAATGAACCCCCATGCCACGTTCAACCTACGTGCACGAAATGTTTTGGGGACATCATATCAAGACACACAAAAAAGCCTCAAGGACCCATACCCTGCACAGGACCATTTAGAGGGTGCGTACTTTAACAAACTCCTCTTAGAGAATTAATCCAATCAACTTCCCTGTGCAGTCTAAACCCATTGATGATTAAAAGTTGTACAAATGGTGAGTTTTCGTCCATGAGCGTGCCCGACATGAAACAGGAAGTTGTTATCACTTCAGTCTACATGCTCACATCTGCACCAAACTTTACATGCTTGATAACTGTCCCGCCCCGAACACATCTGCACGCCAATATTCAGTTATAGTCATAGCGCCAAGTGCTATGTAGCGCCACAAAGGGGACACAGGAAGTGATGATTAACACCTTTGTGCAGTGTCCGAAGCACGTGGCAAATTCACGGCCGCACAGGCAGAGCTCCAGAACCTGCAACGCGGCCGCCTCATACCTCAACGCGCTACACGTGCAAGGGCCCGCCCAACGTTGCTTGCAGCTTTAATGTTAAATTTCTTTCTTTCTTTTTCTTTAGAAGCCATTAACCAAGTTGGTGGGCTCAGACTTAGTCCTTTCTGACTGCCAAAGTATTGGCATTTCTTTGAGCTAGCTAAATAACTCTAGAGCCGGACAGCATGTTATGTTGTTATGACAGCTACTATCTTGCGTTGTCCTGTCATTAGCTGCGGCATAACTGCTTAATGAACATTTTGACATTTATTGCTTTCGTCTTCTGTTTTGATAGTTAATATAACTATCGCTGATTTTTGAATGGGATGAAATGTTATTGAAAATGCACAATACATGAACAATATAATAAATCTTGCAGCACCCGTGGCCCGTTGTCAAGGCACCCCCTCTTTTGGAACCACTGGATTAGCCAATCCAAGTAATGTTTTTAGCCATGCTAGAGGCATGGCTCTATGAATGGCAATGTCGGCCCGTCAGTGCCCCCCTTTTTTCAGACTGAAATATCTCAACAACTATTGGATGGATTGTCATTATATTTGGTACAGACAATCATGTTCCCCTCTGGATGAATTTTGGTGATCCCTTAACTTTTTATCTAATATTGATATTGCTGTACTTGGTGTTTTTTGCTAATTATCCAATGTTGGTGGTCCAAAGATGGTGACAATAATAAACATACCTGCTAAACATGAGCAGGTAGCATTATCATTGTTTGCATATTAGCATGCTGACATTATCAAAGTACAGCTGTACATCCTCAAAGAGACAAATGACTGTGGACTCTTAGTCCTGTTTGGTGTTTATTTAGCTAATTAACCAAACCATTTTACTATATAATGTTATATATTTACAAAAGCGAAAGAAGAGTAGAGCTCTGGTAGCCATGCTGGTGAAGTGTGCCTTGAATTTTGAATAAATCACCAACAGTGTCACCAGCAAAGCACCCCCAAACCATCACACCTCCTCCTCCATGCGTCACAGTGGAACCACACATGTGGAAACCATCCTCTCACCTTTTCTGCGTCTCACAGAGACACGGCAGACTGAACCAAAAATCTCAAATTTAGCAATTATCTTGTTGTTGTTCTTCCTCAGTAGTGGCTTCATTGCAGCAGTTCGACCATGACAGCACGATTCACTCAGTCTCCTCTGAACAGTTGATGTTAAGATATTTCTGCTACTTCAATTCTGTGAAGCATTTATGTGGGCTATATTCTTTGCTACATAATTCCATTTGTGTTCTGTCATTGTTTTGATGTCTTAAGTATTAATCTACAATGTAGACTGGTACTGTCTATTCTGATATAAAGTTATGTTTTACTTGCTGATGTTGAAACTACTACTTTTTAGTGTAAAGCGTTGAGTGTGTGAAGAGAATGGTGAATGTTTCTGATGTCTCCATATTGCTGACATGTTTACAGCTCAGCTTGGGCATTTGAATGAAAATAACCAGAGTTACCAATGTAACTAGCAGTAATAATTTGTGTTTCTCTGTTTTGTAGCCAGTTGAAGATGTTGAAGAATGCACCTGCCCAACATCTGTTTCACCAGGTATATCAATTCTTATACTGAGGAGTGAAGGAAGATTATGACTCATTCATCATTCTTCCTGAAAACTGCATTCAATTTGGTGGATTGTTTTCCTGAAATATTGCAAAAATATTCAGAGCATCATCAGCCTTATTGAGGCAAGAAAATGTAATTATGTGTAGGCTGTATAATAGCAGGAGCATAGCGTTATTGATGTCACAGCACCCTACACATTTTAAGAGTAAGAGTATTTATTTGATAATTGGCAGTAAAGACAGTAGATACTTTCTGATGGCCACCAGGAGGCAGATAATCAAGTAACTTAAGAATTTAATGAAGAAATTAATTCAACTCATATATATTCCTTTGATGTTAATATACTGGAATATACTGAATGCAATATACTACAGCTAACTCCATCTTCTTTGTCCATCTCTGAGCTCAGACTACCCCAAAGAACTGCAGTTACTAAATATCCCCTGTGAAAAGTGCTGCTGCCCAGCACCTCCTCCCAAGATCAGCGACCTCATGAATGACAAAGATCTCCTAGATTTACTGCGGCTCAAACTGGATCCAAACCACTGCACCATCAAAAACTGGAAGAACTTTGCAAGTCGCTGGGGAATGAGTTACGATGAACTGACCCTGCTGGAGCACCGGACTCAGGGCTCTTTGTCCCACAGTCCCACCCAGGAGTTCCTGCTGCGTTACAACCAGAAGACGGTCACTGAGCTCACCGATCTTTGCCGCATCTATCAGCGCATTGATGTGCTGCGACTGCTGCAGAGCTGGATAGAGAAGGACTGGCCATCACGCTGGCAACAGACTCATTAACCAGTTTGACTCAATGTATATTTATCCTGTTTCTCTTTTTTCTTCAGTCAGGGTTGTATTTGTTAGGAATTTCTTCTTCTTCTACATTTGACCAATTTTTTATTATTAGTAACAAGTAATCTTAAAAAAAGAGAATACCAGCATCACTGGGTGCTTCAGGTAGTACAGGATCCTACAGACAGTATAGAATTTACAAAAAAATAACATGTTGTTATGTCTAAAGGCCAGTCCGTTTCTTGGTCTGTCAGGTGATCCACCACTTTGGTCCAGACTGAAATATCTCAACATCTGCTGGATAGATGGCCCTGAAAATTTGTAAAGACATTCATTGTTCCCAGATGACGTATCCTAATGACTTTGGTGATCCCCTGACTTTTCCTCTAGCGTGACCACAAGGTTGACATTTGTGTGAGAGGGCTAGACAACTATTGGATGGATTGCCAAGAAATTTGGTAAGGACATGCATGGTCCCCTAAGGATGAATTGTAATAAACCTGGTGATCTGATTTTTTGTGTGAAGTGCTAATTAGCTAAGTTAGTTAAGATGCTAACACGCTAATGTAAGATAGTGGACATCGCAAACGTTATACCTGCTAAACATCAGCATTGAGCATTGTCATCATGTGCATGTTAACATGGTGATGTTAGCAGGTAGCTCAAAGAACCGTTGTGCCCAAGTACAGTCTCACAGAACCACTAGCCACTGGTTTTTTGGCAATTCTGACTCACAACCCTCTGCACAGTGCGAGTATAAGCAAGAGGGTCAAAGTTCCAGGCTCGATGTTATGACAAAGTAGTATGTCTCAACTGTATGCATACTGCATGCAACAGTGCTTACTTTGTAAGGACAGCTGCAGTACATACTACAAGTAGAAAAGTAAAAGAATGCCATTTGGAACACAGCATTAGTCTTGTTTATGTGCATCTGACTGCATATGCCTGAATAAAGAGCAAAGAATGACTGTCAAAGTATTTATTTTTAATTAAATATTTTGTTTTATTTTTGGAAATAACACTCAACACTCGACACACACTCAACATGCTACCAAGATGTACAGTATGTGACAACCTTTGATTAATAATCGCATTGGCTGTGTCTCGTTTATTGTTCTATTGTTGTGGAATGGAGTTATGTGGGAAATATCAACAAAAAAAGATTTAGATCAACAAGTAAAATATTTCTTTAATATATTTCTCCTTAATTTGGTCTAACCAAACAAAATATTATCCAAAAAATCTAATTTGTTACATTTGCATACCAAACATACAGTTAAAACCTTTAATACTCACATCAATGTTGTTTTTTTTTGTTTATTATGTTTAAAGAAAGAACTGGATTTTTTTTTATTTTACTATAAATAAATACATTTCAAACTCTGTAAAAGGTTTTGTTATTTTTAAAGAAAAATTTAAGGAGCAACATCAACCTCAAGGACTTCTGTCATGGCTCCATAATTTCTTTAACTTGAACTGATAATTTCCAAGAAGGGTCCTAGAAAGAACTCTCTAATTTGGTAGTGATAAACAGAGACAGTGTTCAGTTGGTACACTTCCAGTTGATTAATTCCAATTCATTTCTATTGTATCCTACAGAGACTTTTTAACATACAGCAGGTTAGCTGAAAATGCAAAAATGGGAAGTGTATTAAATAGGCAATCGTACAGTTCAGCTATGAGTAAAATTGCCAATAATAAATGGATATTTATTTGATTATTAGATTATTACAGGTCTGTAAAATACTCATTTCAAATATTAATTTTCAAATATCGATTTACTTGGATACAAAACAACAAATCATCAGTTCTAATCAGTTTAATATTTATTTATTGAACAAAAGATTAACAAATACATTCACTCACACAATTCACTGATTATTAAAACATTTTAAGGTAAAGTAATGCATTTCTCAGAGACCTAAATAGCTCAATGTGATCACATGCAATACTAAGAGAACTGTGTTCAAATCAACAATGTTTAGAAAAAAGCTTATATAAATAACAGCAATATACACATAGTTTATAAAAACAAGTTCTTTCATTAGGTTATCTTAAGTTATTGCACAAGAAGGATGCTGTAGCTGGCACTATCAGCAGAAAACAATGGCAAGTGTTAATTAAACAAGTAAGTTCTCTATTGATGGTCACAAACTAAGGCATTTCATTGTTTGTTTGTTATGTATATTTACAATGTTTCTGGACTGAAGCTTTATTTATCAGGATAGCCTAGCAGGAATCAGTCAGTATCTGAATCCTTGATATTGAGGCCGAGCATATTGGAGAGGCCTAATGTCAATTTGTCATTTTCATCTGATGTCGAAATTTCAGGGGCTGCTTGGCCCAGAACAGGCTCTGGCTTTTCTACTTTGAAAGTACCTCCTCTCACCAAAGAGGAATCTCCTGGTTCTGTAGAGACATTGACATCAAGACTTTGGGCGGCAAGCTTCGGATCAGTATCAATTTTCTCTTTGGTTGGTGAGATGCTAACTGAGGGTGTTTTTTTCATCGACATTTTCAATCTCTCCATAATGTCAATCTTTTCTCCTGCTTTTGGTGTTGCATTTACTATTGGCAAGCGGATCCCTTTGCTGACAACATAATCCTTTGCCTCTGTGTCTAGTTTTGATAAGCCTAAGGTATCACAAATTCCTCCAATGCCATCAATGCCGTTCCCAGTCAGTTTATGGAATTTGAATGTAGGAAACGCTGCCTCAGCATTGGACACACCAGTTTCAGAACCTATAACTTCGGCATTGCCTTCAGCTGTGATATCCAGTTCAGGTGTGTTGAGGCCTGTCACTTTAGGAGCAGAGAGCACACTGACTTCAGGTGAACTGATCTTGCCTTCAACACTGGGAGCTTTGACCTTCACATCAGGTAAGACTTCAAGATTTGCACTTGTATTAACCTCTGGAGCTTTTGTTTTATACTTTGAAAGCTTTGGAACCTTGAAATGTGGCAATTTGGACTTTTCAAGATTTGTATCTACATTTGGAGCTTTCACATCAACTTTGGGTCCTTTGATATTTCCCTCTAACTGTGGCACACTCAAGTCTACTGCAGGAACAGAGATGTTGGCATCTGCTGTAGGAGTGCCTATGTTGACCTTTGGTGCCTCTATTCCAGCCTCTACTAAAGGGTGAACACTGGGGACTTCGGGACTCGAAAGACCAAGTTTTGGAACCTTGAAATGAGGCAATTTAAATTCTCCCAGATGGGAATCTAGATCTGGTGTTTTTAACTGTGCATCAGGGCCTTTAAGGTCTGCTTTAGGCAGGTTGATATCCACATTTGGAGCTTTCAGTGTGACATCAGGTGCTTCCAGTTCAGCTTTCGACAACTTGGTGTCTATGTTTGGTGCATCAATTTCTGATGTAGACAGGCTGAGACCTGGTTCTTTCAGTTTGAGATCAGGTACCTGGAGGTCTGTTTTTGGTAGATGAAGACTGGGTCCCTTTACATCAGCTTTGGGTTCAGGTAATTGAGCCTTTGGTCCTCCAGTGCCAAATTTTGGCATTTTGAATCCTGGCATCTTTAATTTTCCAGGAGCATTAATGTCAACATCTGGTGTTTTAAGGTCTACATCCGGCCCTTTCAGGTTTGCTTTGGGAAGACTCAGGTTCTTATCTGGCGCAGACATGCCACCTTCAATTGTGGGGGCAGAAAGATTCACATTAGGTGCTTTGACCTCAGCTGCTGGCAATTCAACATCAGGAACAGAGACATCAACTTTCGCATCAGGTAATTGTGCCTTTGATCCTCCAATGTGAAATTTTGGTATTTTGAATCCTGGCATCTTTAATTTTCCAGGAGCATTAATGTCAACATCTGGTGTTTTAAGGTCTACATCCGGCCCTTTCAGGTTTGCTTCTGGAAGACTCAGGTTCACATCTGGAGCAGCAATGCCACCTTCAATTGTGGGGGCAGAAAGATTCATGTCTAGTGCTTTTCGGTCTACATTAGGTTGATCCACACCAATTTTAGGTAACTCAAGACTGGTGTCAATGTCTGGTGCTATTAAATCACCATCCAATTCGGGACCCTTGACGCTTGCCCCTTTGAATTTTGGTAGTTTGAATTTCGGTAACTTCCACTTACCCTCAGGTGAATCAAGGTGGTGATCTTTACCATTAAGATTCAAATCTGGACCTTTGATGTCAGCATCAGGCATGCTGATTTTGAGGTCTGGTGCCTCAATCCCAGACCCTATTTTTGGTGCTGAAAGATTAACATCTGGTGCACTCAAATCCATGTCAAGCCCCTTGACATCTACATCTGGTACCTTCACATCCGCGTCAATATTAGCCTTTGGACCCTTCAGTGTGCTAAATTTGGGTTTCTTGAGCCATTTGAATTTTCCAGATGGACTTTCAAGATCTGGAGCATCTAACTTAGAGCATTCCAGGTCAGCTTTTGGTAAGTTTAGTTTTACATCTGGTGCATGGATCTCACTTGGAGCTGAGAGACTCAAGTCCGGGGATGAAACACAAGCATCTAGATCAATATCTTGACTGTTAACTTTAGGACCTGAAGCTGACCACTTTGGTTTTTTAAGAGTGGACAATTTGAACTTCCCAGATGGAGCCTCAGTATCTACATTTGGTGCTTTAATGTCAACATCAGCTTTGGGTAATTTAAGATCAAAATCAGGTCCATCAAGTGATGCTTGAGGAGAGAGACTGAGGTCAGGTGCTTTAATATTAGCATCAAGGTCAACATTAGGAGATTTCACCTTTGGCCCAGACAGTCGAAACTTGGGCTTTTTGAACCGGATTTTTCCAGAAGGGCCCTCAATGTCAGCATCTGGTACTTTAAGATCAACATCAGCTTTTGGTAAATTTAGCTCAGCATTTGGTGTGCTAATCTCACCATCGATTTTTGGAACAGATAGATCAACGTCTGGTGTGCTCAGATCTGCATTGAGGTCAGCTTTGGTGCCATGAAGTTTGGGTTTCTTCCACTTCATATGAGGCCAGTTAATTTTCCCTGATGGGGCATCAATGTCAAGATCTGGGGCCTGAACATCTACATCAGGCCCTTTAAGGTCAGCTTTTGGGAGATTCAATGCAGCATTTGGTATATTAATGTCACCTTCAATCTTTGGAGTTGAGAGATTTAAATTTGGTGTGTTTAGGTCTCCATCCAAGTCTGCTGTTGGGCCTTGAAATTTGGGCTTCTTCCACTTCATATGAGGCCAGTTAATTTTCCCTGATGGGGCATCAATGTCAAGATCTGGGGCCTGAACATCTACATCAGGCCCTTTAAGGTCAGCTTTTGGGAGATTCAATTCAGCATTTGGTATATTAATGTCACCTTCAATCTTTGGAGTTGAGAGATTTAAATTGGGTGTGTTTAGGTCTCCATCCAAGTCTGCTGTTGGGCCTTGAAATTTGGGCTTCTTCCATTTCATGTGAGGCCAGTTGATTTTACCAGATGGAGCCTCTACATCAATATTTGGGGTTTGTGCATCTAGATCACAGCCTTTAAGTTCAGCCTTTGGCAAACGAATGTCAACGTTTGGGGCATTTATTCCACCCTCCGGAACACTCAAATCAACATCTGGTGCGTTCAGGTTTGCATCTAAGTCCAGATCAGCTTTTGAGCCATAAGGTTTGGGTTTCTTCCATTTCAAATGAGGCCAGTTAATTTTACCAGATGGGGCATCAATGTCAAGATCTGGGGTTTGAACGTATAGATCAGGAGCTTTGATGTCAGCTTTGGGAAAGTTAATGTCAGCATCTGGTGCACTTAGATCCCCATCAATCTTTGGTGTAGTGAGGCTGACATCTGTGGCAGCATTTAAGTCAGCATCTGGTCCTTTAGCTTTGGGACCTTTCCATTTCAGATGAGGCCACTTGATTTTGCCTGATGGTGCCTCGATATCAGCATTCGGGGTTTCTAAATTTACATCAGGACCATTCAGATCCACTTTTGGCTCCTTCAGGCCCAAATGTGGATTTTTAACATCTATTTTTGGGGCTGACAGATTGAGGTCTGGTGTCTCTAGATTTCCACTAACAGAAGGGACATCCACCTTACCGGAAACATCCATTTCTGCTTTTGGTGGTTTGTGTTTAGGCAGATTGAAGTGTGGCATCTTGAATTTTGGGGGCTTATATTCCAAGTTTCCTGTCTTGAGTTCTGGTTTCTCAATGTCTAGTGAGGCACTGTGAGTGTTGAGCTTGGGAGTCGAGGCACTGACATCAGGTACTTTGAGGGTGCCATCTAGATCTCCTTTTATATTTGGTCCAGTCAGTCCTACGGAGGGCATTGTAACCTTGCCACCAGCGTGAGCTGTGGGCTTATTTAGACTGAGACTGGGAAGGTCTCCATTGAGAGTGGGACAAGTTATTTCACCCCCCAACCCCTGCGCAGCATTTAATTTTCCACTGAGGCCACCAACGGAAACAACAGGTGCTTCAGCTGATGCATCCAGTGACAGATCCTTCTTTAGGTTGAGCATCTGTTGGTAATGAAGTAGATTAACATTGGTTAAAGCAACTCCTGCGTCATTAATCAGTTATGTGAAGCTAATACTGCTCAGTTATTATTGACACTGTGTCAGAGAGCTGCTGTCACTATTAAAAGGATTTCTGACAATTAAATAGATTGATACAATGTGCAAGGAAAGTATTTTCTTTAGGTCTTAGGAACTTTTTAAGTGGCTTGGGAGATCTCATCAGCGGAGGATGACTTTGACTAGGTTAAGATACTAAAACAGACTGCTCACATCAGACTGGGTCACTTCACCCAAATTACAAAAACATATTTTCTAGTTTACCCCTTGTGGTGAATAGCCATGCAGATAGTTTTGGTGTTATATGCCCAAGTTCAGAGATATTCATTTTATTGAAACTGCTTTTGAAGAAATTATCTTTGTGAAAACTGGTCACAGCTATTAACTGAATGTTATTTTTAAAAGCTGTGAGCACCGCAAACGCAATCCAATTCACCTCCATTGCACTAGGGTGGAGGCAGAAATATAGAAACCTGGTCAAACAAAACTAAGACTACCTGCATAGATGCGACTAGAGGTAAGTTTTTATTATTGATTTGGCTGAACCAACCCCGTTGTTTACCTCTTCAGGGTGTTTGAGACCTAATCCAAAGGAACCAAGGCCAGCACTGGCATTCAGGTCCTTCTTTGTCAGAACCTTCATGTTGTTATCATAAGGTTCCAGAACCTTCAGGAGGTTCAGCACTTCACTTTTGTTGAGGTGGTCTAGGTGTATAGTGGCTGCAACAATCTCATCCCCTGGAACAAGTAGAAACAGCTCATCAAAACCAGCATATTTCCATGTTTTCCTTGAATCCTTAATCTACAGACACTGTTTCCTAAAAGGAAAGATTAACATATGAGTTTCAATATTTGCTTTTTTTTCCTCTTACCTGCTTGCAGGCCACTCTTTGCAGCCACTCTGTCATCTGTGACTCCTGTAATGACGACTCCTTTCTCAGAGTCATCCAGGACCAGGCTTTCTGAAATACGTCTACCCTTGCTGTCTCCGCTCTGTGTTTAAAAGTGATTTACAATACACAAAATAAGACATTACAGTCCATTCTTTCAAACTCAGGCCTATGGATAAAGATATTTTCACAGATGCTTTTATACTTACCATCATTTCTTAGATGTAACACATATCATGGAATTTCTACAAAATACAAGAAACAATGGAAACTCCAGACCACAGCAAAATGATCTGTAAAACACAAGAGAAAAGCAACTTTAGTTATTAAGTTACGATAATATAACTTAAATCAGTGACATAGTTATACTATGTACCTTATGTGTGGTGTTGATGCAGGGAAACAATTTAGAATTTTGGGAAATCATCATTGTTGCAGTCTTTGAAATATTTTTCAAACCAAAAGAGAAATCTGGTTCTATTAACAAAAACCAGTTTAGGTTTTCGTTATGTCATTAATTTAAAAAAATGTCCAAATGAATATCAGGGTAGTGAATGTTGACAAGTGGTTATATGGTATATGGCCTTACTGCCAAAAACAGGTACTATGTGTAAATATATTAGGTTCTCAACTCAAACATACATTATCCCTACATTTGGACTTTTTAGCCATTTTACATACTACCATGATTTGATTTATGGCATAGTATGTCATGTTTAATGTAACATACAGTATACCTGTACAAGCTACTTAAAATCTTTGGCAATTCCCCAGATGAACAGGACATGAACGTTGAAATATGGAAAAAGACAAGATGACAATAGTACAAACAGCACCACCAAAAGTCATAGTATGAATGAAGCAGCTCTTGCATCATTAATCACAGCAGCAGAAGATCTTCATCACCTGCCTTTAGCAGCTCTTTAATTTTCTGACCGTGACTGATGGAGAAACAACAACGCCCCCACACCGTAGAACCTCACACTTCAGGAATCCAAAGCCTCAGCCAGGTTCGCTCAGGGGAATGTAAGCATCTAAACCAGTTGGTTTAGATGCATTCTGATGGACATGTCACTCTGCTCAGCACACACATACATGTGCACAGTCCTTCCTTTAACCACACCCCAACTTCTTCACATGTTTATGCTAATGTAATTAACTTGCAGCATAGCCGCATTAAATTAAGACAGAGCTGGCTTTACCTTTAGCAATGATGGGTTATGAAACACGTCCTCAATAAAAATGGAATCAGGGATGTTTTCTTAAACTAACATCCACATTGTCCACTAATGCGACAAAAAATTATGCTATTTGTAGATAAACCCATCTGTGGTAATGTAACAGTCATGAAAAGACCTCCGCTTATTAGGTCTTCCAAAGGAAAAACAACTCAGCTGTCAAAACTGTCAAATAGTTGTGACTGGAAAATTAACAACTTGCTATGTTCAATGAGAGCCACATATAAAGTAACCTGTTGACAATAGGTACACATAACGCATTTTGTCCAAGGATATATAGAGTGAGAGCCCAAGAGTAATATCAGAGTGAATGTTCCTGCACAGGAAGTACAAAATAGAAATAATTACAGCTGACATAACTGCACATTGGCTTCAGGCTCTATGTATGCTTCCCCGAACCAGAAATTAACAGCAATTTAAAGAAAACAGGAAAGACAGTGAAGTCACAAGCAATTAAAAATTAATCAATGTGGTGTAGTTTATAGGGTGGTGTAGCATCTAAAACAGGATGGCAACATCAACACTGATACCAACCAAATAGTGCAGCAGGGAGTGACAGCAGAGTTTGGTATGAGTAAGTTGGGACAACATCAAGTCACACAGACAGCAGTACATTTAAGCAATGCTGAAAACAATATTTCAAATATTGTATATTTTTTCTCTACGGTATTATTATTTTACTTTGAACAATCACTTGTTGTTGTCACTGCCAGAAACCACAACAAATTTCCAAAAATCTTCATCACAATTGGACTATGGTGTATCAAAATTGTTAGTTGTTACTAGTGAACAAATGTAGAAAATATTACAAGACATATGTAATTCCATCATATGTCAAAAATATGGACTTAGAACTTTACACTTTAAACTCAGTGTGTATCCTTGCACCAAAAACTGAATTGATCTAAAGTCAATAACGAACAATTTTTTAACATGGCATTTTTAGCAATTGTCCTCCCAACTGACCTCATCATGGGGTCTCATATCAACCAAAAAGAGGCCACAGACAACACATCTGATGTACTCACCGTACAATGCTGCCAAGGATGCCTCCACCTATGGAAAGTCCAGGGAGAGATGTCTCCTTGTCAGTGTATCACTGCTGCTCTGTAAGGAAAAACGGGATGGATCTGCCAGTTAAATGCAGATAATCTTGAAGCCAGCCAGGAGAACAGGTTAGGCTGCATCAGCACCGCCAATCATAGTGCCCCCTTTTCACACTCACACACACACTCCCATTTACACACACGCCTCGACTTCAAACTATGTCACAGAGAGACTCGCAGGCCTAATGGCAGCCGAAACCTGACAAGAGAGCACAAGAGAGAAACACACACCACTCCTTTTCAACAGGACTAACCAGGTGTGCAAAGAAACAAACACATAGCAACACTGTCTCACACACAAACACTTCATGCACACACTTCATTTTGCTTCCCTTTTAACATCTGACATTTTGATGTTAGCCATGTTTTTGTTTTCGCTTTTTGGCACTTTTGCTTTTATGTAACAAAACGCGGAACTCAAATTTTGTGAAATATAATGTAAATTCCTAAAATTAAGTTTTAGTAGTTTAGATTTTTAGTATTTTAGAATGTAAAGAATATTTAGATTATTGCAGACCACACTGGTTTCTATTTTTGTACAATAAGAAACAGTTGAAGAGCTTCAGGTATGCTTTTATTGCTCCCGTTGTTTTTGTTGATGTTTTGTGTGCAGACTTTGTAAGTCAATCAACACTCATTTACTCACAAGAACAATAAAATAGTTTTAGTAAATAAAATCAAAGCAGCCATGATGATCATGTTTCATGTATCTACCCCATGATTTTTTTTACCATAGTGAGTTGAATGTAACCCAATGGTTACCAGGAGGATATTAACACCTTCTAAAATCAAAAACACTTAAGCTTGCTTAGAAGAGCAGTGATTTGCAATTCAAGGGTTCATATTTGTATTCATATTTGATTCAGTTTCATGTAGTTAACAAGAATATACAGGGGAAGACAAATTACACAAACATTTTCAATTTAATGTAATGGAATATATACTACCTCTAACATAATACGGTACCATTTTTGTTCTGTCAAAGACAAGTTGATTCAACCCTGTGGTGCATTTTCAGACCATAGTTTATAGTGTTGGTGAACTGGATTTGCTTTCTGTTGTAAGGCATTTCAGTTATTTTGAAGATAAAGTTGCTCCAACATTCCCTTACTAAGATGCATACCAAGCAATGCTGTATGAGTCACTACCCAACCCAACCAACCAATTAATACTATGTGAAGACAATGAGAGATTGAGATGGGTGTTGTCAGTGTAAGACAATAGTTCAACATTGAGCAATAGAAACCAAATTAAAGAAAGAGGAAGGGGATGAGTTAGCATGTGATATAGTCCTGCTTGAGACAACTAACATACTTTAGCTCCATGGGGATTTGGGCCAAATGTCACTCCGTTTACTTAGTGTTGCACTTGACAAGGCTCTTCCAGTTCCACATAACTGTTGTCAGACCAGGTGTCTGACAGCATTGTGGAAAGCATCCCTACCAGTATCATCTGATAACACCCTTTAAAGCCCTTATAGTTTGGCTAGAGTTCCTTTATATTCATTTGGTTTACTACAGTAGTTAGCTAAGTTGCATTCTAAAGAACTGAGAATGGGTCCACCCTTTGAACACAGACAATGATCCACCAAAGTCACTCAGAGCACAGTCAAGCAGAATCTTATTTGCATGTATGACCTCCACCTCCAACCCAACCAGCAGATGGCCGCCCACCCTGAGCCATGGTTCTGCTGGAGGTTTCTGCCTCTTAAAAGGACGTTTTTCCTTGCCTCTGTGGTCAACTGCTTGCTCATGGTGGGAAGTGTTGGGTCTCCATAAATAATATTACAAAGAGTATGATCCAGACCTGCTCTATATGAAAAGTGAGTTAACTTCTGTTGTGAATTGGCGCTATATAGATAAAAATGAAATCACTTAAATTGAATGACCTTTGATAGTACATGAATTTGAATATGAATAGCTCTTACTAGTATTTATTGCTGGTAGGAACTAATATCTATTGTCATTTGTAGTTCTCTCAGTGTATTGATGCTCTATTGATGCTTATATGTTGTTCCTCAAATGTAAGTCGCTTTGGATAAAAGCATCTGCCAAATGAGTAAATGGAAATGTACTACATCGGCTGTGGTTTAGAGGTAGAGTGGGTCGCCCACAATTGAAAGATTGGCGCGTTGATCAGTGACTTGAGCCATGTTAAAGTGTCCTTGGGCAAGACAGAACAATGATTTTTTAAGAGCAGTTGTATGAATGTGTGCTGAAATGACATGGAATGTAAAACAGCTTTGAGAGGACTCTGTACATCCATAATTAGTTTTACTACACTGAACAAAATTATAAATGCAACACTTTTGTTTTGCCCCCACTCATCATGAGCTGAAGTCAAAGATCTAAGACTTTCTCTATGTACACAAAAGGCCTATTTCTCTCAAATATTGTTCACAAATCTGTCAAAATGTGTGTTAGTGAGCTCTTCTCCTTTGCCGAGATAATCCATCCACCTCACAGGTGTGGCATATCAAGATGCTGATCAGACAGCATGGGGATTGCACAGGTGGGCCTTAGGCTGGCCACAATAAAAGGCCACTCCAAAATGTCGCAAGTTTTGAGGGAGCATGCAATTGGCATGCTGACTGCAGGAATGTCCACCGTTTAGTTATTTTATAAAAATAACTACAAATAAAAATAAAATCTGGCAGACAAAAATGGCAGACATAATCTGGATTCAGTGGAAGATGGTCAGACAGCTTCAGAAGCTCCCTCCCCCTACACGTACACACCTCAGAACTCGGGGTAGCTGTCCACCCAGTTCTTTAAATTTCCAAAACTTGCAGCCTTACATTCTCCCCAAAATTGATTGCTTTAGATCTGAGCTAATGCCACAACACAAGTACAAATGTAAATGTCAGCATGAAGGAAGATAAAGGAAGGAAAATAATATAATAATACTTTTTTGTCAGAAGGCTAGGCTAATCCTCAGCCACTGTTGCAAGAGGAATCAAGTCTGAGACCTGAAGTCTGGTGAAAAAACTATTTAAAGTACTTTTAAAATACTCATTGTACAATGACTTTCCAGGCATAATCAGCCTGATGTAGGGCCACCTGTTTTAATTATTTGTCCTTATATTCTGAGAAATAACGTTGTTTTTTTGTCTATTCTTTTCTATTGGCCTGCGTCACGTGACTGCCTTTCTTTCTGTAAAACCCATCCAATCAATTTCATAATGATTCAGTGAATGTATAGCTCTGAGTCTCCATAGATGCCATAGATGTGTTTACATTGGGGTTAGTTGAAAGACCGGTGTATTTCAAACAGGTGCTGAAGTACTTTGTTCATCTGTATGAGATGCCAAGAGGTGTGACAAAACATTGGTATATGAGGACCTGGGAATGAGAACAGGGTGGAAAGAATTAATAATACTAAACCACACCTGTCCTTCAAAACTCACCTTAAATCCATCCAAACCTGAACAGATCACACCCGTTTATTCATTTTTATTTATACTCCCTCTTACTTTTCTGTTTGTCTTCTCATTTTGCTCTTTTTTATTCTCAATAAAGATAAATGATACTAAATTACTACCACTATTTTTGTATTTAATTGTGTTTTTGCTTGTTTTTTCTCCTCCACATGCTGTTACTTGTCTGTGTCCCTTTATGTTTGGTAAATCAATATTCTCTGCTGTTACCTTGGATTTGTTGGTGTGTTCATATTGTCTGCGTATATGTGAACTATATATTTAACTGGTGAATAAATATCGAGGTACAAGGTCATTTTATTCATCATTTTCACAGTGTTGTCTAATTGAGTTAAACTGGCTGAATCTTAACCAAAATCAATGTTGTCCAAAAAAGCTTCCAGTAATGCAAATAGGAAAGGGCCAATCCTCCTGGGGTTGTTCTAGAGGAGCTACAGGAGCAGGCTACTGCTGCCAGTTTGTCATCCAGAGTCATACCAGGTTCCTCACAACTGGAGCTGGCATCATCAAAGTATTATCAATGGACAACGCTTGGTGCAGGCTTCTTTTTCCCTGAAGCTAAACTAATTCTGCAGCATGACAACCAGGGGTGTGTCTAGGGGTGTGTCTAGGGGTGTGGCATTGGGTGGCACGGTGCCACCTGTGAAATTTAATGGGCCACTCCAGGTGCCACCCTGTTTTCCTAAACTGATTGGCTATGTGCGCCAGTACAGCCAAAGGTGTACCATAGTTCGAGTCGTGCCTCTCAAGTGTCTTACGATCCTTCTCAAATTTGTTTAATTTAAAAATATAGAAAGTTAACTGACATCATTGTAAAAAACTTAATAGCTGCCTTTTGAGGTAGGTATTTAGAGTAGTCAGTGAGTTAAGCCCCTTTCTCTATGGTGTCCCTGTCTCACAGTTGATATTAAAGCGCTGTGAGATAACTGTTGTTGTGATTTGGCGCTATATAAATAAAATTGAGTTGAATTGAATATTGTTCACAACTAATAACAGTACAATAACATGAAAAAACTTTACTCACCAGTATGTTACATCTCAATTACATTACATTAATGCACCTAAGAGTTCTGGGTAAGGTTTATTGTCAAGGACTGTTCCAGCCATGGTCGCCATATAGGGGGGAAAAGTTAGGACAATTCCAAGGGCCCCTGACTGACAGGGGCCCCAAAAAATTATTATAAACTAATATCAAATTATACATTATATAAACCATTATCATTGAGTATAAATATATTTCAAATATAATAATAAAATGAACGATCTCTTTGTTTTTACTTGTTTTTGGCAGTAAAAGTTAAAAATCCCCATTGACAAAAAAGTATATACCATATTGAGCGACCACGCCCCTGTATCTGCATGAAACGGTCTGGTCCTGCCTCAGCGCACTGATCAGTGATGGTGTTTACATGCAGTCAGTAGATGCGGCAGAAATACAGTGTTAACAATGCTGCATAGTAAACCAAAATCTGGTTTTCAAAAAGGAAAGAGAGGAAAGACAAAGTAAAGGTAACCCAGTTTTTCACCAAGACAGGTGGGCCGCCTTTAGTCTGTGAGTGGTGTTAACCTGTTTGCTTAATGTCCACAGTGAAATAAGCTAGCTAGCTACAGACTGGTGTTAGCCTACATTTCATCAACCTTT